TACAGAAGTGGATGACCCAATTCAGCGTTGAGGAAAAGAGCATGTTTCTTAAGGAAATTATCGTAAGCGGAAGACTCTGCTGATGATCAGGTCACAACTTAAAGCTCGTTTGGTGCGTTTGTTTAGAATATGTGCGACGACCAGCAGTTGCATTTTTTGACATCGGTTCTGAACTGCTCGTTGAAACGGCGATGTCTGTTCGACGGTGATCACTATGACCCGTTTGCGACCGTGCCGCCGTCCGTCGTTCTGAAGATCCTGTCATTTCTGGCGCCAGGTAAGGCGTTCGATTTGCTGACACGATGATCGCCGTTTTTCTCTTTGTAGTTGACTTATGTCGCTGTAACCAAGTTTGTAAATTTTGGGCAAAATTAATCAGTGAGCAAAAGTTATGGAAAAATTTATGTTATCAGAGTCAGAACTATAGGCTTTCTTCTGTTCAAGCAGAAGAGAATCACATGATGAAATTTAGTGCTCCAGACGGTAGCGTTAAAGTACAATAAACATTGTTGCGCGATTGTTTTTGTAAGCTGACTTTTTAGTGGAAACAAATGTTCGCTGAACGTTACAGACTGTGGCGAAACTGGAACAAGGGAAGATGCGTCGTGCGAACCTTCGAAGGACATACGCAAGGTTTCATTTAGCATTTCATCATTGATTGCAAAAGCAATGTCCTTTTTGTTTTCTGTAATTCAGGAACCGTATTTGCAATTTTATTTGACGTAGTGACATTCTCTAGAATTCCATGACTCTGTCCCTAGGTTCACCAGTGTATGCTTAAGATTGCTATATAGGAATTGCGCGAATAAATAACGGACCGTTAGTTTTTTAGCGATAAACCATTTAGATAGTATGGGCTGCAGGATCTGTTCAGTCCATTGTGATTTTAAAAAATCTCATTGTACGTATTGACATCACATGAGGGATGATCACCAAAAGACTGATATGCATTTAGGGTTTATTATTATTAGAGCCTCATAATTAATGAACTACAAATGTAATTTCCTCAAATCATGAACCTAACACACAATAATCCGGTGTATTGATAGGACAGGATTTGGTTGAAGTTTCCAAACATGTGGAAGAGCCGCAGCGACGCAACGATCGTTTACGAACAGGTTTTTCAAGAAACCTTTTCCGAATGAAAGTACAGGAAATGCTATAAATCGTGACGGAGTATTAGAAAAATATCAAATATGTCAAATAGAAATATGTCATAAACAACGTCTTGCAAGGCCTATAAGTCCAAGAAGTTTCGAAGTGATGCAATAGAATTAAGAACCACACCTTCGGAATCTGTGAAAAATTTGCGAGTCCGAAGCATTAGGTAGCCAAGCTTGTGAACGATTACTGTAACTGTTTGTTGAGAGCTGTAGATAGATGACTGGCTTAAATTTAGTAAAGATATCTTCTCGTGTACGACGATTGAGAGTAAACGCCGATCAAAGCGATTAAGGAATCCATTTTGTAAGAAAATATTAGTCATGCTGAATATACAGGAGAGATGACCCATAAGTATCGATTAGACTTTCATGTGAATAGGATTCTTCAAACTTGGGCAACATTGTTATTCAGTCAGTGACTTTATGCAGCTAACATTGCTATGAGCCCTGAGAGTAGGTTGACGAATAGGAATACAGATAAGCTGTACTCATGAACAGGTCGCTTCTGCGGATTTCAATTTGTGCCGGTGCTTTAGCTATGCATCAGGCTAGTCATGCCATCTACTACCAGAATTCTGATTGTCTACAATTAACTTCGAACTCGTATTTTTCGTTAAAAGTACGTGTTAATCATGCCTTCTTGTACCCGTTTTCATTATGATGCAATTTTATACTAGACATGTATATGAAGGCAAAACGTTGTAAGTACAATATATGTGCATTTCATCCTCATTTTATGTTTTGAAGCCATTCATTGGAAATGTACCGAAGTGAGTGTTGTCAACGATGAATTTACCTTGTTACAGTCACGAATATTTCATGATCTTAATCAAATCAGCGGTCTTTCTTCAGTGCGTGTGGAATGACCTTATATGTATCATTTAAGCAAATCTCTAGAGTGACTGAAGGCTTTCAGCATTACGCATTTCCGCATTTATTGAATAGTCAACATGAACTTATTAGTTATGATAATTTGTTCAGGAATTTCTTGTGTGCATTTCAATGACG